CATATACAAGCTGGTATGAAAAGTGCTACTGAGTCTGTTGTGCATTTTACAAATTTAGGCCACACCAATTTAATTTCTTGGTTAACGGATTTTTATAGGAAAATAATGGAGCGGGCAGGCGAAAAAAAATAAAAATAAAAATAGGCCTAGGCATCCTATTATGTCCCAAAATGGTACAATAGGAGCCATGAAGTCAACACACCAGGCTGGTTCAAAATTTAAACAATGAATTTTGAACTTTTAATGATACCATTTAGGGGTGGGTACCTGTTCGGCTCTTTCAGGTCCAGGTCCAGGTCCAGGTCCAGAGGATCAGGTCCAGGTCCGGACCTGTACCTGTACCTGATTCTGGACACCGGAGTATCAGTACCAAATAATTTTTGCTAAATGATCATTGCTAAATGCTTAATGTATAAGCAACCACTACTAAAATTTTTTTATTTTATTTTTTTAAATTTTTAAAATTTATCTTTTTTTCAATTTATTTTCTATTTTATTTTATCCTATTTTAATTTTACTCTATCCTATTTTATCCGTTCTATACATTATCAAGCTTCTCCTCTTGTCCTATGGCTATATATAAAACCTCAGAACCGAATATATTAATACATTAAACTTCCCAACCAATCACATCGCAGGATTTTGTGCATTCGCCCCCTCTAGCGGTTTGGGCCAAATTGCAGGTCCAAATTTGGGAATCCAAGATGGCCGCCGCTCGGCACAGTTCAGAGCCGATTCCCGAACTTTCCTTGTATTTTCCTTGGTATTTTACGCGATTCAAGCAAAGAAAACAAGTTGACCACAAGAACAAAAGAGTAATACAGCCTTGGGAACCAAATGGTCCGTTTTGTTGGGTACTAATTTCTCATTTCGAGTGAAAATTTATGTGCGGCACAGTGTGACCATGTGCCAGTGATTTTCGGCTTGATCGATCCGAAGCAAACGCAACCTGTAAAGTTCTCTTTTATGATTTTAGATGACTATTGGTAATGAAAATATGGAGAATATTGTTGCAGAATGAGAGATACGGAAACTAAGGTAAATTTCTTTTATTTTGAGGCTGGATGTTCATTTTCCTGGCAGGATTCTTGTATCTAGTGATCATCAGTAACTACAAGTTTAAATTTTTGTTCCGGTCCAAAAAACCGGTCCACTGACGTTTCGGTTTTTCGGACCGGACCGATAAAATTTTTGCGGTCCGAACCGGTCCACCTGGACCGGTACCCACCCCTAATACCATTGCATTGAAAGATGGAATAACTAGTGATGCATACCGGTTCACTGGACTTGGATCCGGACTTAAAAAATGTTTAGGTTCAAGTCCAAAAAAACCTAAAAGTCAAGAACCGAGTTCGGACTTATTACCATAAAAGACCATTTTACATAGCCCTTTTCTTTCCAAACCACCTAAAACCTTCTGTAGATTGTAAAATCTTTGCTGCAAAATGAAGAAAACATTGCTGTCGGGCATCGTCAAGTACCGGCCTCCATGTTATGCGGCCAAAGTTTCACCCAGACAACATTGCAAGGTTGCCAACATGCAATTTTGTATATGCCATGGGTTTAGGTCCAGACTTACAAGTCCGGACCTGAACCTAAACCTCTGGACTTGAATCCGGACCTGAACCTGAAATTGGGTTTAGGTATGCATCACTAGGAATAACTGTAACAACTAGGATGAAAAGGACTGTTTTCAACTGTTCAGGGCAAAATATGAGCATTTTGCAGTTGATTCTGGATTTTTATTTTTATTTGCAAATCAGAAAAAAATGAAGCGGGTGAATCCGTTAACCAAGAAATTAAATTGGTGTGGCCTTAGAGTAGCCTCAATGCAGGCTTCAAATTGTAATTGTAATTTGATATGGTACATTTCAAGGTAAGAGCCAAAAGAACAACAGCAACGTAATCTCCTGCTTCAGGAAACTGTAAAAGCTTATACATGTAGTGGGAATATTGAGGCTATATACAAAGGGAAGCCATTCAGGAGTCTGGCTTGCCCATGAGAAAGTTTAGATTAAAAAGAACAGCAGGTTTTGCCATATGCTTGGAAAAGGTATGAGACTGACAACTGTTAACAACTAGTGCATACCTTGAGCTCTTGTATGGTGTTATGCAGGACCCTACGGTCCGTCTCTGCTTGTTGCAGCTGACGGTCAAGAGCTGCAATCTTGTCACGAGCTTCTGCCAGCTCTGCTTGAAGGCTAGCTACGGCTCCCTTTTCTGCCTGCAGGGCAATATTGGTCGTCTCTATCTGGGACTAAGGAGGAAATGAATGCTGGTTAAAACTTTGAAGGCTTGTCCAAGTCAGTTGCTTAGTGGCCTGCCTTGTACAGAACTACACAAAAACTACACCTGCTCTGAATACCGCCTCCCAAGAAGTAACCAACAAGAGAGTATCATACAGAAGGTGTACAATATGTGGTATATTTGGTGGAGACCCTAGTAGTACCTCCTGGGCACTACACACTGACATTTATGTCATAACTGGGCGGCAATAACGTTTGAAACAGGCGTTCTAGCCCACTTACTCTCCATACTCACATTGCGCAGCTGCAGCTCAGCCTTGATGCCCTCCTGTGCTGCTGCCTGCTGGGCGATGGTTCCTTTCAGTCCTTGGCACTCCTTTCGTGACGTCTGCAGGTCAGACTCAAGGTCATCCCTCTCACGCTCTACAGCCTTCTTCTGGCGATTTACCCGCTCTAGGTCGTCCTCCATGTTTCTGTAAGTGGGATAGTTCATTAGCCACTTAAGTTTTTCTTGCAATAGAGACTAATGAACCAAATTGATAATATCAATAAAGATAAAATGCCCTGCCCTTCGTTAGTTCATGGCTTAGAAGGACCCATCAAGAATATGAAACTATTTTGTACAACACCAATGCATTCATTCCTATCCTTGATTGCCCATAAAATAAACCAGTCGACAGCAGATCCAGAAGCCATTGAAAAATACCTTCCTAAACAACACACCCATCCCTTCTGCTAAAACCAGGAAAACCCACCGATTCTTTGACTGCAGGTCCCTCAATGTTACTTCAGCCTCGTTGACACGTTGTCGTAGTGTGGTGTTTTCACGCTGCAGGGTCAACAGGTCTTGTTGTATGTTGTCAGAATGTTGAGTGATCTCCTCTTTTTGTTGAGTGATGGCTTCCTTCTCAGACTGCATGCTACGCATGGTTTTCTCCATATCCTCAATGCGACCCTTCAGGTCCCATGCAGGGCGCTTCTTGACTGCAAGAAGGGAGAGAGCTTTTACTTCTCACACAAAGGGTAAGTTTCATTTTATTAGGGGCATACAATGCAATGTGGATGTCAAGTCAAGCATACTGGGCCTGTCTTTAGAGCTGAGGATTTCTCAACTAAAATTGTGACATGGAGTCAGTACAGTGGTTATGCTGTAAATGGATCAGAACTCTTACCAGGAGCACCTTTAGGGATGGTAGACCCTGAGTTCGACCTTGTCATGCCACCAGCCTTTGATACAGCTGCTGTTGATGGACAAAAATACAAACAAATTTGAATAGGAACCTCAACGTACCAAAATATATATAATATTATAAGTACAATAGGCACCATCAGTGGTAATGATTTTTTCACTATACACGCACTTGCATAGGATTTTTTTCCACTGGAGCAAGTTAAAAAGAAATCATGTCTAAAACATACAATTAATTACATTAAAAATCAATGAAAAACAGCAAGCAGCATTTTATACACTGTGACAGTGTAGCCTCTTGTGGATTAGCTAGGCATTACTGAAAGCATGGTGCTACCAATAGTAAATCTAAAAAAAGAAAGTAGACAGTAAGGTTAACAACACAGTAAAAACTAAAGGTGTGTGTTATATAATGGCTGAAAGCGTACGTTTAGAAGCAGAGCCACGTGTGGTAACAGTTCTGGCACCTGTCTTGGCAGCAGCAGCTCCCCTACTAGCACCTGCACGCGAGGCAGCTGGAGGTCGTCCAACCGCGGGTTTTGCTGTTGCTGCAGTTCTTGTCCCAGGGCGAGTGGTTGCACTCGCTGTTCTTCTTACAATGTTTGGCATTTTGGGTGGGGGTGCACCTCTCATTGCATCTGCCTTTCTCTTCTTCTGAAGTACAGTAATGATAGATTAGTATATGTGTACAGGACAACATAGCATCGCAAGTACTGAAGCATATAACAAAGAAGTTTGATCAATGAAAAAACAGGATAACTATCACTCACTCCGCCAACGGTTTGCTGCACGTCTGGTGTAAAATCCTGCTTTCGCTTAGATGCCCCATTTCTGGTGGGTAGAGGGAGGTGTGTGGACGGCATGGGCAGCCTGGTCTGCGGCTGTGGAAGGCGACTCCTCCCTTCAGGCCCAGCAGGTGCAGGTGCCTGCAGCTGAGGCTTGACGGCAGCTACGGCCTTGGGGGTCTGGCCCTCAACAGCATTCAGGGTGATCAGCGGAGACCGCTGAAACATCAAAGATATTCCTGTGTCATTGGAACATAGAAAATTGGCAGAGAATTGATGGTCCAGTAAGGTTCATGATGCAAAAATGAAAATGGTTTGATTTGTCTTGGTATGATAAATCAGGTTATTTATATACATGTACATGAATCCAAGAAATTATTGTGTAAACTGCAAGAGTCATTTGCTTTTGAAACAAATTATGAAGCATTATGTGACACAAGGCAGCTGGTTTGGTCAGGTGTGAGGTGGTCTTCTTCTTCTTTGGTACCCCCAAATAACCCCACAAGGGGTGGCCATGATTCCAAGATAACTCGGCCCCTGAGACAACTCGGCCCCTGGCCATTCAGGACAACTCGGCACCAACCCCAGGACAAGTCGGTCCCATAATTTCTCAGCAAATAATATGAATTTTGGGTAAAAAAATTTGTAATTATTATCGATGTAGAAGAGTCCTGACTCTGATTTTAACTTTTTTTCCTAGCCTTAGTGACATACTAGTAGTATTTCTTATAGCGACGACGGACTTGGCCTGCGTCACGCTTTAGATTACTCGGACGGGTCGCGCCGACATAGCGAGGAGCGTTACGCTAGCGGCGCGGCCAGTCAAAGTAATCTAAAGCGTGACGATCCAAGAAACTGCTAGACTTACAATTTATATCGATATAGAAACTTCATAGAATCATGAAACATGTAGTGAGAAATGTTCAACAATATGTTTATAATTGTATTCTCTTGTGTTTTCAGCCGGCGGGCATGACGAAAATATTTATACCAGTATGACCCCGTGAGTTTGGTAGCAGGTCGTTTCCCCCCATAATTCTCGGAGCCCAAAATATGGATAATTTGTTGAGAAATTATGGGGCCGACAGGCGACTTGTCCTGGGCTTAAGCTTGGTGCCGAGTTGTCCAGAATGACCAGGGGCCGAGTTGTCCCAGGTAGTTGTCCTGACACCGTCAGGGTTGGGCAAGTCCCATTGCCCACTTGCCAAGGGCAAGTAAAAGCACTGTTCGGGCAAGTAAATATCCCCCAGTACTTGCCCGATTACATTTTTTGGATGCAAAGTATTAGCCCCAGCAGTATTTCAACCAAGTTTTAAACAATTTTGATAAATAAAGCATCCAACATTATAAACTCTTTCTGCTAGTAAAATGCATAGAAATGTGTCATATTTTGGGCAAGTGAAAAGTTGGTTCAGGCAAGTGGAAAATGACCATGTACTTGCCCGATAAGGCAAGTGGATTTTTGAAAACTTGTCCAACCCTGACCGTGGCCATAAAGGGGGTGATGATTATTTGTTAACTGGGTCGCACAAACACCTAGTTTACAACACCTTCAAACGATCCCACACATGCATGTTCGCTGTTCAGAATGCTGAGTTTGCAAAAAATGACTTCACACAATTATCAAATTCGATATGAGCTGTGTACCTACCGGTGCTTCAGACATGTTTCCGCAAACTGACTGGTGTGTAACAGACACGCTCAGGAGGTAGATTACGTAGATACTCGATGGATGATTCTAAAGGATGGACAAAAACTGTCAAGACAGCCAGGTTTCACAAACATCGTTTATGCAAAACGCCAACCAAGTCGAAGATGGCGTTCAACCTTTCATTTTCCTGTAAAAATTATGAAAGCATGGGATCTTGAGCAATGAAAAATATTGCTAAAGTATGGCAAAATCCCGCAAAATGTATCCATTAAGTAGACAAAACAGTCGAAAATGAACGACAAACACCCGTTACAAATGGAGCATAATAAATATGGAGTCGGTGGAAAGCGCGAGAACCATCTTTTTAACGCACAGGTTATGTAGCGTCGGTTTTCGTCCGCCATCTTGCCTTGTCTTGACAAGCCCGGGTCGAGTTGTACGCAAAATAATCCACCAAAATCTTACCAAGCCCACAAACGCGAACAGTAGTTACGCAAGTTTATAAACCTCTATACTGATTGCAATGAAAGCATTGACACAAACCAAGGATGCACAAACCTTATATGTGACGCACTCCTGTTCAGGAACCTTTCGGGTACCGCAGTATGCAAGCGTAAATGAAAAATGTCGTTTCTGTGAGATTGGTTTTGAATGCTACTGCCTGTAGCTGATTGGTCAGTAATTGGCACAGCTGATTGGTCAAGATTCAGACATTGCTACAATGTGATTGGTGAAATTTGCCCTTGGTCCCAGAACATCTCATCCGACCGCATTCTCGTGCCCAGGATTGTTATTCTTACCTTCGCCAAAAAGGTTACTAGTATTAGGCCACACCAAGTAAATTTTATGGATGACTTCCTTTGGGGACCCTAAATCTAATGCGAGAGGGCGAAAAAAAAACAAGAAGGGTCCTAAAAAACAAGATGCCTAGATTAGAAATATACTAAGAGACGACAAATGTTAGGACACAAATTGAATGAGGTGACACAGTGTAACAAGCAAGAAGTCTTTTATTCATCATCAAAACAGCAATAAATCAGGTGGAATAGCAGTTGTCGTCCTATCCTGTTTTCGCGTTACGGGTTTCACGTCAATCTGACGATTTGCAACACTGTCGTGACTCTTTGGTCATAGTTACAGGAAGTGGAATTTCTTTTTTTTTTCTAGGAACAGGCCAAAATCAATGCGCGCGCGGACGTCATCCATAAAATTTACTTGGTGTGGCCTTATACTATATTATAGTATTATAGTAGTATATTATAGTAGTATGTGTTTTCAGAGGCGTTCGTGTGTGTTACCAAACCTATTACAGCGGAGAGGCTGTAGGACTCGGGAGCTATAAATAGGTTTGGTAACCAGGAAACACGTTCGATTTAGTACGTGGCGTGACGGCTGGCTAGTGTGTGTGTGTGTGTGTGTGTGTGTGTGTGTGTGTGTGTGTGTGTGTGTGTGTGTGTGTGTGTGTGTGTGTGTGTGTGTGTGTGTGTGTGTGTGTAAACACGATAACTCGAGAAGGCTTAAGCAGATGGATTGTCTTGATATTTGGTAGGGGGATAGGTATTCATGAGACCTCAAAAGATTTTGGGCTCCCTAGCGGCTTGTTACGGTACTGCAACAGAACTTCCGGCATGAGTTTGGGCTCCCTAACGGCTTGCTCTGTAACTGCAGGGGCATTTGTAGAAATTTATTTCAAGCAGGATAACTCAAGAACCGGCTGAGGAATCGTCATGATTTTTGGTGTGTGGATAGCTTGACATCATTAAATGACAATTATGCAGATAAGGATCTAATTTGCATATTTAATGAGGAAATTCTATAAAACCACTGCGTTTCATGATAGAACCGATCAAACTTGTGACATGTGTAATTGAGAACAAAAGGACATCAGCAGATGTCAATTATGTAAAGTTAAAATTTTCTAATTAAATAAAAATGTAAATGAAGGCCTAATTTGCATAATTAAAGAGAAAATTTTGCAATTCCATAGTACTTAGCAACTGCTGCGAATTTCATTATTGCAGCATTATTGAATCTAAATGAAAGTGAACTTTATTTAAACATAAATTATTCAAATCAGGACTTCATTTGCATAATTTATGAGGAAATATTTGAATGGCCTTCTTTGTTTGGATAAGACTGTCGTTAAGTGGATAATATGATATAATTCATTATATAATTTAGGCAAATGGTGAACTTATTCGTATTGTCATCGAGAAACATAATTCGTACGATCGTCAGTTGTAAGGAAAAAATAATTCAGCGAAGATATGAGATCGTGGAACTCTTGTTGTCAATCATTTTGTTTCGCATCAGGGAGGTTGGTTGCACCTTTACCGTACTCTCATTATTCCCATAATTCCAATCAAGGCCGATGTGAAAACCTAAGTCAACGTCGTTTCTTCCCTCTTCGGCCCCTTTATTTCTGCACGAACGTCTCCAGTCTAGTATAGGGCAAAGTCCAGTATTGAGCTCAGACATTAGAAAGGCCAAGGACTGAAGGAGGTTCAATACGATCAACTTTTCCTGATCTTTCCTGTTTCAAGTGGTCGAACATCGCCGTCACAAAAGAGTCCGATTCAGTGTAAGTATCACTGGCACCAGGGATGCCAAATATCAGGCAGCAAACAGTCGTTTCAAAGCGGCTACCGTTGTTGTTTTCTCAACCATGTCAACGTTGGGTTTAAAAACTTACAGTTCTGATTGTACCCAGTTTTCTAGTCACCCAGGGTCACCCAGCTGCTATCAAGTACTAGCTTAATTACTGCTATACAATCAGAAGACAATGTGTAAGTATCGAAGAAACGAAGCCAAGAAGCCTCAACTTTGCTATGATGAAGGCTATTAAACCAAGTCATGGAGAAAATGCGATTTGCTTGATTTTCAATATGTCGTAAGACATGGTCCCGTATCATGTGGGAGGGAAGGGCGAAGGGTCAGCTTCTATACGTGTTCAGACCTGTAAGAAATTGTAAATCCTGTCTCACAAAATTGTCTTAGTAGCTATTACGTGCTTCTAGTACTAGTAGTAGTAACCAGATTTTGCTTTTGTTTAAGTTTTGCTTATAAAGTTTACTATTCTCATACATGGCAACCCTGGCATATGTCGGTTTAATACTGGAGAAGTATGGAGAAGGAAGGCGTTAATCAAATATTTGCTCTCAGGAGACCCTGCATTTTTTTTGTCGTAAACTAAACTTCGTCGTGTTCTCTTTCCAGACGATGCCTAAGGATCTGACTTACGTGGTGACGGGTGGATATGGGTTTGTCGGGCTCCGGATCGTGAAGATGTTAGCAGAGAAGGGAACTAACATCCGGGAAATTAGAGTGGTTGGCAGGAACACGCGAAACTTTCAGCCGCCCGACGTGGGAGATAAAGGTATGGCGACATGTTTGTTCTGGCACCGTAGGTGTGTTACAAGCAAATAGGAAGGAACGACGTATGCTGGGTCAAGGGCACTCAATTTCCAATCAATTGCAACTGCCAATTGTTTCTATTGAAACGTTAGCTTGTTCTCCCATAAATAAAGCTAAGCAGAGTGGTCCCTTGTTCTAGCCGTCAGTGCACTTGGCTTGGCTGATTAGAGATAGAGATAGAAATATTACAGTCCCCATAGTACAGTCTTTTGTATTCATGAACTTCAGAAATCAACGTCTATGCCATGGCCGGGGATGTAAGGGACCCTGTGCGCATGTCAGAAATCTGCACAGACGCAGATGTCGTCATCCATACAGCGGCAGTGGTCGATTTTCTGGGATCGATGAGTGACGACATCCAATGGGATATCAATGTGAACGGTAAGACAAACACGGTGCCTTGTTTGAGGTTGTTTTGTAAGAACCAGTACTCCTATCATCACCACAAAATAATCACTTTGCAGAAACACCCTTGCATTGAACTTTTCATTTGTTTTCTTTCTTCGAGTCGAATATAATATGTAATATATAATATGTACATGTATTTCAAAATTGTCTATTCTCATTAAAGAAGGGGTCCCGTTTTTCTTTGCGTCAAATTACCGTGGCCGACAAGAACAAAATTTTACACCGCAACTTTTGGTGTTTTACACCGCAACTTTTGGTGTTTTACACCGCAACTTTTGGTGTTTTACACTGCAACTTTGGGTGTTTTACACTGCAACTTTGGGTGTTTTACACTGCAACTTTTGCTGTGTTTTACACTGCAACTTTTGCTGTGTTTTACACTGCAACTTTTGGTGTTTTACACTGCAACTTTTGGTGTTTTACACTGCAACTTTTGCTGTGTTTTATACTGCAACTTTTGCTGTGTGGAAAACTTACACCCCTCCCTTTTTATAATGGACGGTCCCCCTGTCAGGTCAAAGGTGACAACGATGGCATGCAAACTACGTCGACTGAGTTATCCTTTTCGTGCATAAGTTTTTTAGAGGAAAAGCTTGGCTACGTGGTGACGTTAGTTTTTTTCTAAAGGCCTTTGAGTCACGTGACATTTTCTAGCTAGAGAATTCAGACTCGCAAGGTCGCTAATAATTTGATGAGTAAATATTGGGCCTATGGGAGTCAAATGTGGCACCACTTGGTACTATGAAGCAATAAAGACTTATTTTCAATTATGAAGTGTTGACTCTTGACTCAGGTAAGTTATCGATCATTAGGGAACAATACGAGCGATCGCCATGACGTCACCGTAGGCAAAAAGTGGGTGCCAGTTGGCTGATTTGCCTAACAAGAATTTGCATATGTCTTCAAATAATTTGCATGCGTATAATGTAAACAAAAACAGCGATCGCTCGTATACAAATGTAGAATATATTGTATACAATATTTATAGTTAATAAGACATCTAATCAATGTTAATTAGTCAATCACTAATTTATAAACTGTCATCATGGAGGCAATACAGTGTTGTGTAAGTATAGTAAAGTTAGAACACAAAGAAGAACAGACAGAATTATAAATCATCAATTTATTCACAGCTTGATCAATTTCTTAAGATCCCATTCTGTTGATGTCTCACACTCAGTCACAGCACGACACTGTGACTCTCAGGCCGCCGCCATCCTTGTCACCTTTGACCTGACAGGGGGACCGTCCATTATAAAAGGGGAGGGATGTAAGTTTTCCACACAGCAAAAGTTGCAGTATAAAACACAGCAAAAGTTGCAGTGTAAAACACCAAAAGTTGCAGTGTAAAACACCAAAAGTTGCGGTGTAAAACACCAAAAGTTGCGGTGTAAAATTTTGACTTGTCGGCCACGGTATCAAATGCAATATTTCCCTTCCCCCACGTAGGAACGGAAAACCTCCTGCAGTGCTGTGAGAACGCACGACGTTCCATGTTTCGTCTACACGAGCAGACACGGCGGTCATTGGTCCAAACTCTCGCGGTGATCCCATAGAGAATGGCGACGAGAACACTCCTTACGACACCTCTCGTCCACTCATGACCTACAACAGGACCAAGGCTGCTGCGGAGAAGGCCGTTCTCCGCAAGAACGGACGCAAAACTAAGCACGGGAAAACACTTCACACTTGCATTCTACGGCTTGGCTGTAATTATCATCCTAATGATTGTCTTTGCCAATCATAAGAGAAGATCAAGATGCTCGATGCTATTGTCTCAAAAGGACTTTGATATCATAGTTAGATTTTTCTAAATCGTTGGCTTCTGACTTTACCTGACTGGCGCTCCCACAGACCAAAGGACATAAATGTCATTGTACAGACGAA